TCCATACAAATACAGGCAACTAAGGTCACTTATCCCTGATGGCAATTTCTTATGTTCTGGAAACCACACTGATGATAGAAAGCCTGGCATAAATCAGGCCTAAGCTTTCTCTCTTCCACAGATCAGTAGAGCAAGAAGACATAAAAGCATCAACTCACCAAGACTTCCCTCTGCTGTCTAGTACTATTTTCTTCCTATCTTGATATCCAATATTAAAATACCTGTATAGGTATCTATCTTAAAACTCTTGCACAAAAAAATGAGGCTCAATATATCAAGCCTTACTATTTTTAAATACAGTTGTTTCTGAATACCCTTGAATTAGATTTGAATTCTGAATATAACTAAGTCTTCATCCTAAAGGTAATATTTATTTTAGCACTATTCATAGCAACACCTCTTTCAAAACTTAAACATCAAGAAAGGCCATTCCATCCATCATCTTTAAAAAGGGTCAACAAAATTAGAGAAAAAATGGTAGTACATTAATTTTCCTCTAAAAATCATGCATATTTTTCCTCAGTAACCCAGAGACTGACAGATAATAATGTCTTCATGTACATAAGTTGAATTTGCATTTATTCATCCTGTTTTTCCATTCTTGCCTTCCAAAACCTGGGCACACAAGGATGCAAGAGGGACATGGACTTCATTAAAACTGCCAAGACAACATAAACTATTCTTCTCCAGCATGTCTCACCCTGAGCCCTCCAAGTCCTGTGAAAGCCACCATGCAGTCAACTTTTCTGTGATCTTTTTGATTCAAAGCCAGAATACTCCATGCATTATGCCCTCCTGCTGAACGCCTGGCAGATTTCCAAGAGAAAAATCTGCATAGTACTCGCTTCTGGTAAGACCAGCTGTAATTTCCCTGTGTGTTTTCTCTCCTAGGGCTGGAGGACGAGGCAAAAGAAGGGCCACGGACACTACCCACAGTTCACGGTCTCGGGAGGGAGATGGAAGGCCAAGGAGCCAACCCTTAACAGCCAACAGCTGGAAGTGAGCCCAACTCAGCCTTCAAGATATCCTTCTTTGCCACTTTCCAAGATCCTCATGGCTATTCCTCTTCGGGAGCTCAGTGCAATGCCCAAAATTGATGGCCACCTTTGCTAAGCCAGGGATCTGGCATTAACAAAACATGCAGGGAAAACCTTCATTTTACCCAGCCTTCGCACCCTCAAAACTGTCCTGTTTCCCACCTCTGGGAAGGAGGGGGCAAAGCCTCTGGGCTGAAAAGCAGGAGCTTCTTATCCAGCTTGCAGCAATGACACAGCCCCAACGAAACAGCCTCCAGTACCCTCCAGTATCCTGTGCCCCTGGATCCTGGGCATGATGTCGACTGCTAGCTCTTGTGCAGGTTTTCTGCTCCTGAATCTATAATTTCATTATTGCTTCAAGTTTATAAAAACATGTGTAAATGCGATTCTGCAAGAAGAGAGCTTGGACAAATCAAACCACATGTTTACCCCAAACATTTTAACTCATTCAGAAGTTAATTTTTATTGCATCTGGCACTTTACTGGATGCCACCATTAGTTCTTTTCATATAAATTGCAAGTAACAAAGACTGCTAAAGCACCCATTAGTTAAAATAAATTCTACACGGTACCATGGGTATTTCGAAGCATACTTCTCTGGTATTTAGATGTCAGACAATGATCCATACTAAGAAAACCACAGCGAGCTTTATGTTTATTTTACATATTCATGCAAAATCTTCTTTCTTTTTCTTATTTTGGTTCTGGAAAAGTAAAAAGGTTTTCACTGCTCTGTAAAAATATGCCTTCATGTGCATCTCTAGAGCAAACTCTTTGACATGACTGTGTTTACTGCATTTGCTCCTGACTTCGCCTGAGCCCCACTGACAGGCGTGACTGATCACATCGTAGTTCGCCACAACCCTGGACAAAGCCTGAATGTTCACTACCCAAAGACACCATTCTTCAGGGATTCCTTTATTTGCCCACACAGGATTCTGTTGTTTACTAAAACAGAAACTAACAACCAATATTTGTTCCTGTGAACTATCCAAACCTATGCACCAACCTACACCTATACATTTTTTTATGTATTGCTAGAACAAAACAGCTTTACAACTCAGAGCATTAACCCACAGAACCCCTATTGCTCTAACAAACCTCCTGACACATGCATTTGAATCTAAATTGTCTGAAATACAAAGGCAGGAAAACAATTAGCAGGAATCCTTCCTGATCCTCCTTTTGTCAGTGATTCAGGTGATATCAGTGGTGACATGAAAATGAACAACTGGGATGCATTTTCATCCTTCATCTTTTTACTTATTTTTAATCAAAACCTTATATTTTTTTTACGATAAAGAAATATTATTGGATCACACAGATAAAACTGAAAGATCTGAAAATCAGTCTCTGGTTTCGTTTAAGGACTGGGATTCAACTCCAAGGGCATTTTTCTGTCCCACTATCAGCGAAACTCATCTCTTTCCTATCTCAAGGATATTTTTCAATTTCTAAGTATTGCTACTGGAATTTCAGGTATTAAGCGTGAACTGGAAAACTTTCACAAGAAACTGCTTTGGAAAAGTACCATCAGTTTCTACATAATCAGTACTTCTTTTCAAGAGAACTTTAATTTGTATCTTGAAAGTAAAATTTCTGTGACCATACAGCTTCAGCTGTTACGTTGTACTGCTCCCCAGGCCACAGAGACAGGGCACTTCCTAAGCTTTCACCGCTGTGAAAAGAATACAGAAGCTTACAAACAAATACCCATTCCAGAGGCTCAAGCTGTAACTGGCTGAGGAAGCTCATTAATCATCACCCAAAGAGACTGCAGTGAGCAATAAGGAAAAGAACAGGAACAGTTCAAAAGATACCAAGGAGAAGCAAGCCTTCTGTCAGCTTTTCAATTCAGTATAGTGAATTCCCAACATTCGATGCATCACGTATATAACAATTTCCAGTGAAAACCTGCTCTAGGTTTCACAAATCAAAGAACACAGAAAACCCCTTGTGAAAGCTTGGGGCCTGAGCAGCCTCTGTTTGCAAAGTCTATTCAAAGTTAGGTAGATGAGGAAGGCCAGGGGCAGGGAGAGGACCCCAGGAGGAATACTGCCTCTTTTCAAATCCAGGCACCTCTACCAACCTGCAGCTGATGGAAAAGCGAGTTCACCGAGGTTGTTTTAGGAATGGATAGCTGGCAGAAAAATCCCCAACTCCCCTTTTCTATTATACGCACTGGAGGGGGTACTCTCCCTGGGATAGCTCCCGCCTCCTGCTTTCCTGGGAGGTCTTAACAGACTGGTCATCTTTGTTTAGATACATATAAACACTCTATTAAGATTCTCAAGATATAAGCACACACATGTGGTGTTATAAAAAATAATACATACACTAATAAGATGAAAAAAAAAAGAAAAATAGACAGGGCTGTAATATTAAAAAAAATATCCATCCAAAAATTTAGATGTGGTATCAACATACACAGGTTAGCACATGTTGACTATAACATTTTCACAGTAAAGCTTTAGAATAAAATAAACATGCCGGATATCAGTGAGGGGTCTGAACTTTATATCCAAGTATATTCAACACCTTCCTACAGCCAGTAATGATATACTGTAAGAGGAAATAGGCTAGGTCCACCAATAGCAAGAAAAAAAGGCCACAAAAGAAAGAAATACATAGTAAACTGATATATTTCCTGCAATAGGGAAGAGAAAAGAAAAAGTCTTGATGTCATCTCAAAAGGCTGTAAGCAAAAGCAGCACACGACATGCAACACAGAACTCTTCAATATGCTTGTGACATGCAGATGCCTTGGTCAGGAGTGTATTTTCCTGGAATTTCTGGGTGTTGGTCTGGCATTTAATTAACATTACAAAGACCTGTTTTTTAAAGCAGTTTTAAAAGCACACTAGATCACATTTAAATGGAAGTCATTATTAGACTTATTACAATTGCAGAACCAAATGACATCCTTTCTTCCACTAAATATATTTTGATATTTGCATGTACCACTAGCTCCAAACTGGATTACTGGAAGTCTCTGCCAAAAGACATTTCAGACAGGCACTGTATCAAAAGGCTTCATTAAATTCTAACACCAGGCATAATATTCATGCTCTAAATGCTGAGTGCTTCATTAATCCCATTTTGTGAATTTACCACTGCCTTCTGATTCACACAACTTTAAAATGCTGAAACCTCTGGCTTCCCAGAAAATTTTGTGACGTTGAATGTGGACTAGGCTGATACCGGGGAATACCATCATGTATGTGATAGCCGACCACATCCCTCTGCTGCCCATTTTTGATTTCTTTTCAGAAATCGAGCTTTACTTGTGACAAAAAATACTGCTTTCCACATTTAAAATCAGAAGCTTTGAAAGGCTAAGAAACAGACATGCGACCTCATTTTCCTTTCCAATGCAAAATACGCTTTCCTGGGTATTTTAACGAAACAGATGGTAGGTGCTAAGCCCCTGTACACGGCTTTCTCACTTACTTAGTGTCAGCACGCATCTAAATGGATCTATTTCTAATAGGTGCCTTTTGATGCCAAACTGTTCCGGAAGTCCCTGAGGGATGCACGGCCCTGCCGGAGGAACCCAAAGAGCAGGGAGCCCGCAAGAGCGGCGCTCCCGGTGTGTGGATGACACGGGATTGGTTGCGCACCAGGAGATACGACGCAATTATAAAACACTGAACCCGCATTCGCCTGCCCGCGCCCGCACGCAGGCGATCGCATCCCAGGCGAGGGGGTCAACCTTTCCACGCACGACACCGAGATGCCACAAGGAGACACACAAACACACAGACACGCAGACCACCCCCCCGCGCCACAGCCCCCGGCACGACCGAGGAGCCGAGAGCTCGCCCACCGCGACCCTCGGGCGGGAAGGACAGTCACGTCCGGGACAAAGGCTGATGGAGACGGGCGGCCGCCCGCGCCCGACCCCCGGCTGCTGCCGCCGGGGGCTGCGCGGGGTCGGCGCCGGCGGCGGCCCCCCGGCCTTACCTGCGGCGGGCGGGGGCGGCCGGTCGGGCTCGTCCTGCTCCAGGGTGACGGCGCCGTCCCGCCAGACGCGGAGGTGCGCGGCCGCCGCCCCCAGCCTGGCGGCGGGGGTCTCTCCGCGGCGGGCACGGGCGCGCAGCGAGGCGCAGCACTGGTAACACACGGCCCACGCCTGCTCCTCGTTGATGGGCTGGTTGTAGAGCCGGAGGATCTCCTCCAGCGACAGCGCCTCCGGCTGCCCTCCGGACCCGCCGCCGTCCTCCTCCTCCTCAGCGGCCGGGCGGGAGGCGCCGGGCTGGGGCTCCATGCCCTGCGTCCGCCGCGGTGGTGGTCCTCGCTCAGCGACCGGCCCCGCCGCCGCGGCAGCGGCTGCTGATGCTGCTGCTTGCACTGATGCTGCTGCTGCTGCTGCTTGTGCTGCTGCTGCCGCCCGGTCCCGCCGTGCTCATCCTCTCCGCCCCGCTAGTGCCACCAGGCCGCCGGACGCACAGCCCGGCCCGCGCGGCAGGCAGCAGGAGCCAGGAAACAGGCAGGAGTCAGGAGGAAGGCAGGCACAGGATCGGCGCCCGGTCCGCCCGCTGCCGCCGCCGCCGCCGCAGGGGGAGCGACAGCTCATAGCAACGCAATGGCGTCCTCGTCCTCGCCCGCCCCCGCCGCGCGGCGCCGCCCGCCCGCCCGCCGCCGCAGCGCCCCCTGCCGGCACCGCCGCCATGGCGGGCGCGGAGCGCTTTGACCAGGGCTGCCACGGCAACCGGCGCGTACAGCGCCTGCCGGGCCGGGCCGGGCCGAGCCGCTCGGCTTCCACCTCTGCCGGAGACACCGACGGACGCGGGGCACTCGTGGTGCACTCAGCCCACAGCCCTCGGGCCGCTGTTTCTGCGCCGGGTGCTGGCAACCACCACCCGCAGCAACGAACAGCTCCCGGCGGGATGCGGGATGACACTCCCTGCACCCCCAAGTGTTAAACGCTTGACACGAACCCGCGCCATCACGGATACGGCGAAACGTGTTAGGTCCCCGCTATCACAGCAGGAGGGCGAGTGCCTTTGAATTCCAGGGTCTGCCCTCCTAAAGCAAACACTTCCTCCGGGAAAGCTCCATCCTCGGCAGCAGCAAGGCTGGAAGCGCCCAGGAGACGCAGAAAGGGTAGCAGAGCTAAACCAGCCCAGTCTGGGAAGGGAACAAGGGACTCGTCTTCCAAGCAGCTGGGAACTGACGTCCCTGCCCCTGAACACACCTGGGCACCCGAAGGGCACAACCTTCGTGCCAGCTTTGTCCCAGGCAAACGAGCACTTTCACGCAGAAAAGCATCAGACTAAATAAGCTGATGCTCAGAGCGAACACACAGCGTTTCTCTCTTTAGTGTTCTACCTCTCAGATGTGAAAGGAAAATAAAAATCTCCCGTTCGCATCTGATCCACTGGGAGCCGGGAGGGTGTGAGGAACAGCGCCGGGAGTTCCCCCTGCCGTACAGGAGCGGTACTGCACCTGGGCAGGGCCCCCGCCGCCGGCTCCAACTCTCCCATTCCTCTTCCAGCTCCTCTCTTCCCATTCCACCTGCAGTTCCTCTCTTCCCTTTCATTTCCAGCTGTACTGAACGCCGCTGCTTTCTTCCTCTTGAGTAACATACAGCGGTGAATATAAGATACGACTGGTACTTAAATAATGCTGTTAAATTTGGAGATATTCACCATACAATATGATCCAGCCTTTCAGGAAAGGAAAGTAGGGGAGAAATTGTACTTGTGAAGCTTTTATCAGCATCCTGTATGCTGTATAAGAGGCAAACGAATGCATTTTGATCTTTCAGGTAGAAAAAGAAAGATAACACAAAACCAGACTTGTGAAGTTAGCAGCAGGGCCAGTAAGTACATAATGCGCCATTAGAATCCTAAATTTAAAAAACCTCAGTGCTGTTGTAGGAAGTATTTAACACCTCTTGAAGAAAAAAGACAAAAATGGTGTCACACTGCCACACTGCTGATTAAATGTACATGCAAAATGTCAACATTCACTCCTGCTGTATGTGTTGCAAGATTCTCTAGGATCACGTAATTTTTTTGGTTCAGGACCAGCAGAAAAAGTTGCCTTTCTTACAAGGACAAGCAAAGGAGGTGGTCATGGGCTATCACTGACACGGAACAGCTTCTGCAAAAGAAACCAGTTTCAGAATCTCCAGCCACAAGAGATGCCTGGGGTCCACATGGGAAAAAACCTGAGAAGTATGGTACGAGAAAGTTCAGTAAGCCCAACTGCTTGCCATTTTGTAAAGCATAAAGACTTACAGATACTCAGCAAATCATCACCCATAGGTTTAAGATAGACAAAATCAGAGGTGGGTAATTAAGTACAGATTTGAGCATCAGAATTAGACAAAATCACGAATGGCTGTCAAGAAAAATGGCCTGGCTACAACTTCTACCTCAGAAACTTCATAAGGTAACAAGAGGCAAAAGGCATCACATTTAACTACTTTATCTAACCCATCATAGCTATTCACGTCACCAGGTATCCAAGTCTTAATATATATTTAAAAAAATAAATCCATAAATTATTAAATTCATAGATCTTCAGGTATCCAAGTCCTAATGTATATTTAAAAAATAAATCCATATATTATTAAATTCATAGATTAACAACTTTATCTGATTGAACTGTTCTCAGAAGCTGAATGTAGAAGTTACTATTAGATCCCCAAGAGGCAGAAATAAATTTTGTTGTCTGAAGGACACATGCATAAACACTAGTCTATCTGGATCTCAGTCACTCACAAAGTACATCCTGTACACTACAGGGAAAGGAGAGGTAGAAAAGAGTCTCTTAGTCTGTAGAGGTAAAGCAGACCTACTTCTAAACAAACTCTTAAACCAATTCAGAACTGCAAAAAACAAGCCAATATTTTTGCACCCATTTTAGTAAATTGACCCACATTCCTATAAATATAAAAAGTAACTTTTATTACAAAGAATAAATTCTCTTTATAAATACAATCATTACTGTGTACACAATCCCCTTCAATACACACACTGGTGTTCAAAATCAGTAGCATTTATATAAAATACTATCTTAGTTTTTAATTGAATCATTTTATACCCTCATACATTATTTTGCAGTGCTAAAAAGGCATGAATAATTTGGGGTTTTTTTTCAAAGGACAGAACGGTATTTACAAGCAAACATGATCCAAACTGCACACGCAGATTCAGGGTACGTAAACACTCGTACACGAACAGCAAGTCGCACCTGGTCTCCCCTACAACAGATTATTTCTTCACAAAAAGGAGACCTATATGACAAAGAGAAACAGAGTAACAGACAATCTTAAGATATTGTTAAAAGTTTTAATTATATAGTGCAATTTTTTTAAAGTGTGACTAGCATTGAAGTGACGATGAATGAGTCTGTCACTACAAATAATAATATTGTTCTATAGCGCAAGGGCCGTTGCCTTGGAGGAAAATGACACAACCACTGATCATTTTTAACAAGTGAAGAGAAATTAAATTAACTCCTCCCTTGTTCTTCAATTTAATACACAAGAAGTCTATCACCACTGAGTCACCAATGTAACCTAAAAGCTCTGTACCCCATGATCCATTACACATACCACACTACTCTTCCTCCAGTTCTAACCTAAGGAAATTAATTTTCTTTAAAATTCATTATTAAAAAAATGAGTTGCAATTAGCAATTAAGGATTACTATTTAGTTTTAACATATACCTATATCTTTACACTTAGACTTACCGAAGACACGTGGCAAATACTCTCCTGGCATTTCTGTGCACAAAATGGATTGGAAACCCTTTGAAGGTGTGACCATCGGGTACCGCTCTTCTTACGGCATCCTGAAACTCTTCATTTCCTGCAGAAACACCTGTTGTGCGTTCAAGCTCGTAGGCTGCTAATGCTGGTGACAACAGATAGGAGAGCTGATCATCCCAAACAGTAGAAAGGCCAAGATCCTGAGAGGCAAGTCACAGAACAATGACAACTGTGAAGAAGGTACATCAGGATATGCCTAAACTTGCCTACTGTATAGATTCAAATAAATCCAGGAATCTTTATATTGGTAGTTGATGGCAGTGAACTGATGAAGCAGTGAGCTTTGTGTTGGTGTGGTGTCACACACCAACTGGGAGAAGCAAACACCACCACCAGAAGTGACACCACAAGTATCAAACATTTATCAAGGAATGAAGCTAAACTATTAGACTTAAGCATAAGGCCAGCAGACTTGAAACCTGTTTCAGCTACAGCATCTCTGCATGAAACGTAAGAAGATATGCATAAATACACAGCAAAAATATGGAAAAGATCAACTAAGATTCACCTGACATTTTTTCATATGTCTCATGGAAAACCCTTTCTGAAAATATGATGCACAACAGCTCCCTGAAACACAAAGGCACCTTCTTTCTACCATCCATGTTCCCACCACATACGTGCACCTTCCTCCTACCACCCCAAAGGCAAAGAAATATAAAAAACTACCATGTATATATTCAACACTGCATAAGACTCATACTCAGAGAATTACTTTGCCACCCTAAAGGCTGAGCATTGTGTGGGGAGATAAAAACAGAAACAATCAAAAAAACATTAAAAACAGACATAAGCTAACAGGGACTTAAAATATCATTGCCTTCATATCCAGCACAGGATGTACCATTTCTGGCACATTATGCCTTGTAGAAATCCTGGACAAAAAGGACAAAACTAACTTCTAAAAATATCTCCCATTTTGTAAAGCAGTCAGAGTAAGATCATGAAAGCTGAAAGTCTACTTTTATCTAGGAACCAGAAACATTTGTGCTGTATTGGCAAAGTCCGCTAACAATCAGATTTGATCTTCCTGGTGCTTTTAGAAACAGCTCATGGGTGGTCTGCAGGTGCCAGTAAGCTAAAGATCACAGACCTAGAACAGGGGCCTAGAAGGGGCAAAGGCAGGGTGGAGGGAAAAGCTCACACATGAGGCTACAGATCACCACCACAAATAATGGTATGATGTCTAAACCAGCTCATTA